TTGGTAAATGTCCTCATAGGCCCGCCTCTTTGCCTCGCTCACCGCTCGTTCTGCAGTCTTCTTTGTCACCTTGTACTTCTCTATGTTGTCTGCGCACCTGTCATGATACAAGCGCTTATAACACTCCTTCTTTTCCTTAATAGCCTTTTGCACATCTTCATTCCACCACCAAGTGTCTTTCGAATCACATCCGCTCCCTTTGGTCACTCCAAGCACCTCTGAAGCAACCTTCCGAACGCACGTTGCCATCTTCTCCCACATGTTGTTTGCATCGCCTTCATTCTTCCAAGGGCCCTCTTCAATGATCTTTTCCTTAAAGACCTTTGATGCCTCCCCTTATAATTTCCACCACTTCGTTCTAACAACCCTAGCTTGTTTGTTCCCATGAGCTTGCACCAGAAAGCGGAAGCCAGCCACCACCAGCTTGTGTTGAGTGACCACACATTCTCCAGGTATCACCTTACAGTCCACGCATGTTCGTTTATCCCTCCTTCTTGTAAGGACAAAGTCGATTTGACTAGAGTACTGGCCGCTACTAAATGTCATTAAATGGGACTGTCTCTTACGAAAGAAAGTGTTAGCTATCATCAGATCAAAAGCTATAGCGAAGTCTAAGACTTCCTCTCCCTCCTGGTTCCTCCAACCATATCTGAAACCCCCATAAACTGCCTCGAAACCTGCACTTGATGTACCTACATGGCCATTAAGATCACCTCCTATAAAGAGCTTCTCGCTACTAGGAACAACTCTAACCAAGTGATCTAAGTCTTCCCAGAAAAGCTGCTTAGCACTCTCATCATGGCCTACTTGGGGGCATACGCACTAATTACGTTTAAGATCACATCACTAATGACAAGTTTAACTAAGATGATCCTATCTCCTTGCCTTCTCACCTCCACCACACAATCCTTGAGGCTCTTATCAATCAAAACTTCTACTCCATTTTTATTTGAAGTTGTCCCAATGTACCAGAGCTTGAAGCCGGTATTATCCACCTCCTTCGTCTTCTGCCGCTTCCATTTAGTCTCTTGGACGCATAAAATAACATTGAACACAGTTTCCAAATTGAATAGGTACAAGAGGTTCAACTTCATATTGCTCCATAACCATAACTGATAAGATTTACAGCAAAATCATGAGCTTTAAAAGGTTGCGGTGTAGTGTGATGGCGTAGCACAACTATTCCTCCTAAATAGCATGCACTTAACATACACAAGACCAAAGCCAACATGCTACAAGCTTAATCGACCTTTCCCTTCCCCTTGGAATCATCACTCACTTGAGAGGATGTTTGCTGGTTGATACTAGCTTTGGCGTTCGCCAGGAAGGTGGGATCTGGCTGTGGCTCTTGGTGTGGAGTCTCCTTCATCGCCATGAATATGTAAAAGCCGATCACCAGATTAACTGATATGACGGCCAGGAACCCGCTGGCGAGTGTCTGTGCCGAGGATGACATCTGACTCACACCTGAAATTAAGAAAAAAACTACCATTACCAAATAAAATTTATGTGCTGCATGTCTGCATCTGAACATAGTAGATGGAGTACACCATGCAGCAATGAAAACAGGAACAGAAGCCGAACCTGGAAACAACTCGTAGTAGAACCCATACATGATCGCAACCGGGGCCATCCACATCACCATGGATGTAACCGCAAACTTTGTGATCACTCCTGACATTGCTTCTCCGGATGGGGACGCTGAAATCAACGTACAGATGTCCGCACTTCAGCTAGAGCCCAAAAATAGAGACTAAACTGCTTTTAGCGCACGCGCGCACACATAAAGCAAGCAACTCCACACTGGATTGGAGCGTACATCAGATCCAGAAAGATTTGGACTAGATCATTGGCAGCAAGAAGGGATCCGCGAAACAGGCTAGAGGATTTCTTACCAACAAAAGACGAAGTCGGTTCGATTTCCGATTGGGTCTCCGCTCGACGCCGCCTCAGCAGAGGTGAGGGCAGCAACGGCTCCAATCCAGGAAGAACTCCTTCCGAGCGGCTAGTAGAGTGTGCTCGGTGGCCGGAGGAGATTCGACGCCGAGAGATGGTGGAAGAAGCGACGAGACGACAGAGGAGAGGGTTGCGGAGCCGTCGATTGGATCGAACCTGCCTGTCACGAGGGGGAAGGAGAAGGAGACGGAGACTGGACCACAAACACAGCAGGCCGATTTGGAATGGGCCAAAAGTTCCTTTGGGCTAGCCCGCTCATTCGTGGGATGGACGGTCCGTTGCAATCTGGGCCGTCGGATCGGTTTGCCGTTGGCGACTTTGTCCACCGGCGGCGACCAAACCACCGAGCCAAACAGCAGAAGAGATGCTGCTCCGCGTCGGCCTCGCGCGCAGCGCCCGCCTTCGCGGCGGCGGTGGCGGCGTCTCCTTCTCCTTACCCCTAGCGCGGCGTCTCTCGTTCGAGCCGCCGCCCCCGCCCGATACTGAGTGGACGGACACGGTGGATTACCTGGACGAGTCGGGCGCGCTGCTCTCCTCGGCGCGCGGGGCGCGGCCGGCCGTGCCGGGCGCCGACCCCACCATCCTCTCCGGCGCCTCCGCGCACCCGCTCCCGCGGCCCGCGGCGGCGGCCCGCCTCGCGGCGCTCGCGCTCCGCCACCGCTCGGGCGCGCCCCTCTCCGCCGCGCTCTCCGCGCTGCCCTCCGCGCCCGACCCAGCGTTGCTCCTCCTCGCAGCCTCCTCGCTCCCGGCCTCCGACCCCGTCCCGCTCATCTCCCTAGTCGCATGGGCGCGCCTCCAGCCGTGGTTCGTCCCCTCCGACGACCTCTCCTCGCTCCTCGCCGCGCGTCTCCCGCCGGCCACTCACTCCTCCGAACTCCTCGCGCTCTTCGACGACACCCTCGGGCTCCCCGACCTCGCCGCCTTCCCCAAGACTCTCAACGCCGTCGTCTCCGCGCTCGCCACCCACGGCCTCCTCGAGCCGGCCTTCTACTGCTTCAAGCGCCTCCGCGATGCCAGCTTCGGGGGCCTCGAGACGCCCGCATACAACGCCCTCCTCTCTCTGTTGCTCACCAGGGGCCTCGCCTTCAAGGCCTTCGAGGTGCTCGACCAAATGGCGACCTCGGGCTGCGCCCTCGACGAGGGCACGTACGAGCTCGCGGTGCCTGCACTGGCGCGGGCCGGGAGGATCGACGCCGCCCGCAAGATGTTCGATGAAATGAAGCAAAGGGAGGGAATTGGGCGGGCGCCGGTGGGCGTGTATTCGGTGATGGTGGACGTGCTGGCCAAGGCAGGGAGGCTTGATGCGGCCATGGGGATGTACAGAGAGATGGTGGCGGTCGGGCATCGGGTGAGCACAGCAGTGAGCACCGCCATGGTGGAGGCGCTGGTGAGATCTGGGAAGCTGGATGCTGGGATGGAGCTTTGGGAGGAGATGAGGAGGGGAGGGCTCCGACCAAGCTTTGGCTTGTACACTATGGTGGTCGAGGCCAATGCACGGTCTGGAAGGTTGGACATGGCTGCCAAGTTGTTTAGTGACATGGAGAAGTCTGGTTTCTTCCCTACGCCAGCCACATATGCCTGTCTAGTGGAAATGCATGCCTCGGCAGGGCAGGTGGATGCAGCAATGCGGTTGTATCACTCCATGGTGAATGCAGGGACAAGGCCAGGGCTTCGCACGTTTACGGCGTTGCTCACGATGTTGGCGAATAAGAGTCTGCTGGATTTGGCTGCAAAGGTGCTGCTGGAGATGAAGGCATCAGGTTTCCCAATAGAGGTGACCGCAAGTGACCTGCTGATGATCTACATCAAGGATGGGTCGACTGACCTTGCACTCCGGTGGCTACGGTTCATGGGTTCGGCTGGCATAAGGACCAACAACTTCATCATAAGGCAGCTGTTCGAGTCTTGCATGAAGACGGGGCTGTATGACTCAGCGCGGCCGTTGCTTGAGGCATATGTCGCTGGGGCAGCGAAGGTGGACTTGATTCTCTACACATCCATCCTTGCTCACTTGGTGCGGTGCCAGGACGAGAGCAGCGAGCGTGCAATCATGGACATCCTGAGTGCCAGCAAGCACAAGGCGCATGACTTCATGTGTGGGCTGTTCACTGGTCCGGAGCAGCGGAAGCAGCCTGTGCTCTTGTTCGTGCGCGAGTTCTTCCAGGGCATCGACTACGACAATGAGGAGAGCGCAGCCAGGTACTTCGTGAACGTCCTGCTCAACTACCTGGTGCTCATGGGGCAGATGAACCGTGCCCGCTGTGTGTGGAAGGTCGCCTATGAGAATAAGCTGTTCGCCAAGGCGATCGTCTTTGACCAGCACATTGCCTGGTCCCTGGATGTCCGGAGCTTATCTGTGGGCGCAGCTCTCGTGGCGACTGTGCACACACTGCATCGGTTCAGGAAGCGGATGCTCTACTATGGGGTTGTGCCACGGCGCATCAAGCTGGTGACAGGGCCGACACTGAAGATGGTGGTGGCACAGGTGCTGGCGTCACTGGAGTCGCCGTTTGAGGTGAGCAAAGTCGTCTTGCGGGCACCTGGCGACTCTGTACTGGAGTGGTTCAAGAAGCCAATCGTTCAGCAGTTCCTCCTGAACGAGATACCATCCAAGGCCGACGTCCTGATGCACAGGCTCAACGTGATGTTTCCAAGTTCGGCGCCGGAGATCCGGTCCCTGTCCATTCCAAGATCCCTTGGCATGTCTAGGTGATGACACGACATGCCTTGTTGCTTGAACACTGCAAGCTGAAATGTATTTGTATACTAAAGCTTCGTGAATGTGGAATTCAAAGTTTCTAAATGTGGGAAAAGAGAGAATGCAAATTGAGTATAAGGTTCTGTTCTGCTGCTTAAGAGCGTCATCGTATATGTATAAGTGGCATGGACATGATGCTTAAGACAAATAGTATTACTTGCGTTTAAATTGCTATATAGAACTTCCTTTTTATTCAAAATATACTTCACTTAGGCACCATATATCGACACACAACAATATGTTTAGGTGACCATTTGTTGAACCGAGCAGGAATCAGGTGTCGTAACTACAGAGCTGGGACCGGTGAGCTCGCTAGTGACGCCGCGCTGAGGGTGTTGCCGACGTCGATGACGAAGCGGTACCTGACCTCGCCCTTGGCGAGGCGCTCCATGGCCTCATTCACTTCTTCAGTGCCGACCAGCTCGATGTCTGCTGTCAGCCCGTGCTTGGCTGCGAAGTCCATCATCTCCTGCGTGTCCCTGATGCTCCCCATGCAGCTCCCGGCCAGAGTCTTGCCTCCTGTGTGCACAGATTGTCGCAACATTTCTCATCATCATCCACCATGGAAGATCATCAGAGTACCATTGTGCAAGATGTATGGGTATAGACATCTTTTTTTTTCTTGAAAATGGGTATTGTCATCTTATCATCAACATATGGAAGATGACGAAATGGTGTCAATTGTTGAAGTGACCTCTGCAACGGTCTCGGAATTTAGAAACAGTCAAACAGACTTACCAGCAACCAAAGAGAAGGCAGAGATCTGCAGAGGCTTCTCAGGCAGGCCAAGCAAGATCATCTTGCCGTGGGGCTTGAGGAGAGCAAGGTAAGAGTACATGGACATGCTTGCAGAGGCCGTGTTTAGAATGCCATGCATTGTGCCCTTCACAACCTGTCAAAATGCAGATCAAGATACATAAGTGAATACTTGGTTAAAGAAGATGACATGATGGTATAAAATGGCGTGTTCTCAAGTTAGGTTCCATAGTTTCATAAAAAAAAAAAAAGTTAGGTTCCATAAAGCTTTGGACGTTTTTGTAATGAAGCAGCAGAATTTCACCAAGGATTCTACCATTCATAGAGATCTGAAGTTGCACCCTAACTACAAAACAGTGAAACAGATAGATTGGTCCTGCAATGATAAATAGTTCATTACTCATAATGCAATGCGAAGTGGTCCTTATCAACTAGTACATGAGTATTTTTGTTCATCCAAGTTATCCCTTAATTGGACTACTTGACGTCCCATGAAGCCAAGCCAACCAACATTTCTTACCTTCATCTGATTAGCATCACTGCTAACAACAAAGGCGTCTGCACCAAGCGTCTCCATAGCCTCCTCCCTCTTCTCCGGGGACGTGCTGATCACGGTCACCCTCATCCCGAATGCCTTTGCAAACTTCACAGCGACATGCCCAAGCCCCCCAAGTCCAACCACGCCAATGTGCTTGCCTGGCTCGTTTAGCCCATGGTACTTCATGGGGTTGTACACGGTTATCCCAGCACAGAGCAGTGGCGAACCTTTGTCAAGGGGCATGCCATCAGGGAATTGGATGACAAAGCGCTCATTCACAACGACCATGTCAGAGTAGCCACCGTAGGTGACAGTGCCGTCCCTGTCATGGGAGTTGTAGGTGAAGATGATCTTGGAGCAGTAGTTCTCGTGTCCTTCCTCACAGCTCTCGCAGGACTGGCAAGTGTTGACCATGCACCCGACGCCAACCTTGTCTCCAACGTTGAACTTCTTCACATTCTTGCCAACCTCAGTGATCAGTCCGGCGATCTCGTGCCTGCATCCATCCGTCAGCATTATTTGTGCTCAGAGCAACCAATCAGAGTTACCTCTGTTGAAGGTGAGACCGTGAGAGCACTAAATAATTTGAGATGGTCTCGTGTTAGGTGTAGTATGATCTCACATTCAGAGAGCATATTATTTTCTCTCCTCCTGAACGAAGATTCAGAGCAGGCATCATGCAAGTATGCAGTGGGCAGCTAGAATTGATGAAGTCTCAAAAAAAGAGAAAAGAATTATGAAGTAGTAACTCTTTTTAAGACATGAGAACCCTTACCCAGGGACAACAGGGTAGTTGGCGTTCTTCCACTCATTCTTGATGGTGTGCAGGTCAGAGTGGCATATCCCGCAGTACAGTATCTGTATGGCAACATCGTCATCTCCAGTGTCCCTGCATAATGGCAAGGTGCCAAGGTATAAAACATCTTCTCATGGAACAAGCCCATTCTGCTTATCTGTCTGATCTATTTGAAGGTTTAAGTTACGAAAGAACTATTTATCAGGTGCTGGGATGACAATAATTCAGTCTTCAGAGTTCAAATTTCTTCACATTATACGGCTGCGAAAAAAAATTCCTCACACAAAAAGAGACTACTTAATCCTTGTTCATCAGGAAAAAAAAATGGTTATGTTTGTGGACCAAAATGGGCAGTGAAGTGCCCAACTCAACTTTATAACCAAGATTTTCATTAGCCCATTTTTTTTCTCAAACAGGCAGGAGAGCTGTTCAGCTTTGTATTAAGAAGAAAAAGAGGCAAGATCCCTTACAGCACACACCCAGGAATATAGAAAAAGCATTCATGCCTTATGCTTGCAACAAAAAACAGCCTCGACCAAGAAACCAGTCACCTAGTCACCTACTGGTTGCCTGCAGGCTCCAAGGAAAGAAGAAAATCTCAAAAGAAATGCCCTGAGCCCCAGCCACACACTATTCCAAATCTAGACAGCCAACACCTCTTATTAGAATTTAACAGTCCATTCGAATACATCAAACTGTTGCTCTGTAAGGATTAACGAAGACCTTCCATATATTTTTTTGAACCCGAACCATTCTATATATCATTGCATTGTTCTAGTTGAAATAGAATGCATAGTTTCACCAACAAACAGTGATAGTACTCGAGAAATAAAACACACTGTTATAGTAATTGCAGAAGATGAGCTGGCGCAGAGGGAAGCAGGCAGCCATATCATCAACAAACAGATTGTTGGCTGGTTGTGAAAATTTGAAAAGGCCTGCACTGCTGCACAGACAAAATCTGGTAATGACTTCAACACCCATGGCACAGATGCAAGTATGCAACCACCTCATGGACCCGTTTTCAATACATCATCTTCAGTCTCACTATGGATATTGGTGGTCTTATTGCAACGTTTGTCACAGAGGGGAAGATAGAAAAAAAATATTAGCATACATGAATTATGAATATGAACAGGACGCAGCTCACTGCTCACATAGATTTGCTGGTCTTATTGAAACGTTTGTCACAGAGGGGAAGATAGAAAAAAATATATATTAGCATACATGAATTATGAATATGAACAGGACGCAGCTCACTGCTCACATAGATTCTCCATGTGCTGTCATGCCCTACAGGTTGAAACGCATGATCCATCCATGCACGGACCAACGCTCGTGATGGGCATTTATTTATTTACTAGGAGGTGGAGGCTCCACAGCGAAAGGAAATGGTGACTGCGACGGTAGCAACCAGAAACCAGAAAGGGCTGCGTACAATGAAGAGAGAAGACGGGCGATGGTAACTGCGAGGAGTGGTGGGCTCAATAAATTCCTGCAGGAGGAGGAATGGCGTTGTCACCTTGTATTGATGCACCAGCAAAGGATTTTTAAGAAGGGTACATGCCGTTGAGATCTGATCAGATCTGGCACGCGCCAACAGCTGAGCTGTCACCAATTTGCCACTACCCCCCAATCCATTCCCTGGCAAGTCAGGGGTGTTTGCTAATGTATGGAACCTTCCTCAACGACTTCAGCATTTTTATTACTGGAATCATTCTGTACTAGAGGTTTTTACAGTGGTTTATTTGCAGTGGAAGGGCTGAACAGAAATACTGGAACCGTGAGAAAGTACAGCAGACGGCACATAAGCCATCCGGCTGGCGATTGCTATCAAATTTTGTTTGTTTTGCACATAAGCTCGTACAGTATGTTTTTATCTACTCTTATTATCGAAGCAGGTTACTTTGGCCAGCGTTCAGGCCATCCACGGTAGGAAAGTTAATTTGGTCCGTCTGATTTTCGTTTTCACGGCTGAGGCCCGTCCCATTCACTGTGCAGCCGTGGCCGCTCCCGTTGGCCTGCCTTCGTTGTTCCTAGTTCCCGTCCCCCTGGCCCGCCAGCTTGGTTCTCTTGGTCTCTCCGTCTCCCTTTCCGCGTTTGTGTCGTCCTTGCCCGCTCCGTGCTCTCCGCCGTCGCCATCGTTGACGCCTCCGTGGGTCCCGTGCTCCTCCGTTTTACTGGGTTTGCTCCCTCTCCTTTTCTCCTCCTTGGTTTTGCATTCCGATTTGGTTTCTGCCTTCCCCGTTTCTTCCGCCTGTGCCTTCGTTTCCTCCTGCCGTTCTCTCTTCCTTGCCTTTGCGCTTTCCTGGTTTATTTGCAGTGGAAGGGCTGAACAGAAATACTGGAACCGTGAGAAAGTACAGCAGACGGCACATAAGCCATCCGGCTGGCGATTGCTATCAAATTTTGTTTGTTTTGCACATAAGCTCGTACAGTATGTTTTTATGACGCATTCAGTCGTAACACTGCATATACTGATGCTCAACTCAACTAGAAACTGAGAGATAAAAAAAAAGAAATGTGAGGTTTTAGCTCTAAACATCCCATGAAATACGCTTCAAATGTAGGTGCAGATCGACGCTAACAAGAATTCAGAATCTCAATTTCGCAGTGGAACTGGAAGAGAAACCCGCATCCCACGGGCAACAACTAGGCAAAGATCTTACTCGCCCCCATAGCTCTGCTAATCCTACATTGCACCTCAACTCCGAACCAAGCCAAATTAAACGCACTTTCTCAGACGGGAGGCAAAACATCCAGCAGCCCGCAAGATTTCACGGGCGTCGGTTTACTAATCCTGCATTGCACTAGCACGCACTCGATTCCATGCCGAGGCACGCCGCACGCTACCACACTATGAACCGCAATTGGGTGAGGCCACCGCTAGGAACAGATCGAGCAGGCGGCGTCTGGCTACGGCCACCTGCCAGCGCCGCCCGCGAGAGCGCGTGCGTAGGCGTACCTTCGCGAGATGCGGATGGGGGAGAGGCGGCCGGAGGCGTCGTGCGCCGCGAGCGCCAGCGCGCTCCGCGGGTGCTGCTCCGCCTCCACCGGTGCCATAATCGTTGCGCCGCGGTGGCTTGATTCGCAGTCAGCAGCGGAGGTGGCGGCCGGTGAGCTGGACTGGAGAAGCGGAGGAGAGTGGTAGCGGTGCTGCGATTGGCGGTGAAGACGGCGCACCGACTCCGGGTTGCCGCTCTCTTTATAGCGCGAGCCAAATGAATTCTCTTGATCCGTTTTAAAAAAGACAATTGCTATCTGTCAACCGGTTAATTTATCTCTATCTGTCAACCGAATTTTCCTGCCACCGCAAACCGCATTGCCTCCCTTCGTTGTAACGGCCAGCAGCGTGTAGCTGCGTTGCCGGTGGGCTGACGGGGAAGTGGGCTGCGGCGTACCCGGCTAGCAGCGTGTTCGTCGGCGTCGTGGCCTCGCCGGATGCAGACAAGGACGCCTGCATATTCTAGAAGGACTTCTAATAATTTGTAATTTGTTCTGAGATTTGTGAATAATTTATGAACAATTTGATATATATTTTCTCGATATCCGCAATCCCTAAAAATAATTTGTAATTTTTTTTTTTGCAAAATTTGGCATATATTTCTCTCGAGATTTGCAATCCATAGAAATAAAAGTCCCCAAATTACATCACTCTATCCAATAAATTGTACCAAGAAATCATTGTAAATATAGTAATAAGATAGTGTAAATATAGTTACAAGATTGTGTAAGTGTATGAAAAAATTAGGTTGACAAGAAGAGCCAAAACAACCTGAATGTGGTGAGACAGATCTTTAAAAATGATTACCCTAATAAAATACTTAGAAAATTCCTATATCGCTAAATTGAACAGTGAGATTTAAATTCGTGAATTCAATTGGTGAAAGTCCTTTACCACCACGTCAATAAGCAAAAACTCTTTGTATTTAAAAATCACAACTTTCTCATTTGAAATCCGATCAAAGTAATATTATATAAATTATAGAGCTAAGATGAAATCTTCAACTTTATATTTCACAAATATTTTGTGTTTTGAAACCATATGATGGTAAAATAATGCATACAATGTTCACACTTACATCTACATATCTGAATTATTGTATCAATTATTTTGGCATGAGCTACATATCTCCTTGAGCATTATAATTTTCATATGTTTTATTTTTCATATGCAATCATATAAAAGAGCTATGATTTCGTTAACATAGTGAAGGAGAGTGAATGAATTACCACATTTTTATTCCACTCACCGGTGTATCGTATCTTAAAATAATTGTAACTTTTTTATATGACCTTATATGATGATAAAATTTACATGAAAATTATTGAGCTAGATTACATAAAAATTATAGAGCTAGACAAGATGGCTTAGAATGATTTTTGTACGAACTGCAAAGTTGCAGATCTATCAAGCTCTACCATTGTCATACTAGTTTTATCTCCATTCGAGAGCTCATATTGATAAATTATGATTTTTTTTAACCACAGGTGAAGGGAATTTCCGCCATTTGATTTGACGGAAAGGGAAATTCTGCCTATTAAGCTAGTGATTTTTTCATCTCGGCATCTCAATTGGCGATAGAAGTTTATTTCTGAAAAATAGTGCGATAGTTTTTTTAAATGAATTTACAATATACTCCATCTGTCATAAAATAAGTGCACATCTCACACTTGGAGGAATCAACAAATTCTATGTTTGACCAAGTATAAACAAAAACAATATTAATGTTTATGATCTCAAACAAATATCATTGGATGAATCACTTTTATATATTTTCATAGTAAACATATATAAAATAGAAAGGGTAATATTATTTTTTAAAAATCTATTAATGTTTGATTTCTCGAAGTGCTAGATGTGCATTAATTGGGAAGGAGGGAGAATAAAAATCCGAGCGAAGACCTTCTTTGTGTTAGTTGGGACCGCCGCCATCGCATTCGCGCGCGGTGGTCGGGGAAGCACGATATCAGGCTTTGGGCCCGCATAGTCACAAAAAAAGGCTTTGGCCCGCATAGGACGCACTCAAGGCTCAATTGTATCCATCTAAGGCCCAACTAGAGCCCAATTATAAGTATAACTCCATTCTCCTCCGTCCTCCCGCAGCAACTCGAATCACCAAACCGAAGAGACCACAGGGCGGAGTCGAGAGCAGACCTCCCGGATCTCTCTGCCACCCGCACCTCGTCGCCGCCGTCGACTGCCGCAACGATGGCCTCCCCCGACCTGCTCTTCAATCTGCGGAACCTCTTCTACCTGGGCGCCTACCAGGCGGCCATCAACAACAGCGACGTCCCGGGCCTCGACGCCGACGCCGCCGCCGAGCGCGACGCCATCGTCTTCCGCTCCTACATCGCCCTCGGCTCCTACCAGGTTGGAATTCATCCGGCGTCAGGCGCCTCAGCGCTAGCTCGCCGCACTTGGTTCCGGCTCTGATAGCTGCCTCTCTGTGTTTGTGCAGCTGGTGATCAGCGAGATCGACTCGTCGGCCGCGACCTCGCTGCAGGCTGTGAAGCTGCTCGCGCTGTATCTCACCGGAGACAAGGTTAGCGCGCTGGATCTGAACTATGACGCCTCTGATCTGGTCCTGATCGTGCTCTGCTTGTCTGGATCTGGGTCGTTGGTTTGGGAGTCGTTGTGATAGTAGGGTTAGATCTGTCACTGCTAAACTAAGTAGTGTGGTCTGGGTTAGATCCTGTGCATCACGTGCATTGCTAGAGGTTACGGAGTGACATGTTGATGATCCCGCTACGGCCATTTTAGTTGAAAGCGTGAGCTCGTTTGCGCCATGGGTACTATGATCCTGTATTCCTATTTTTGCTTGTGTTTTGAATAGGTTTCTGTAAGAGCAACAATCGTACAACAATGCATATCATCATTTCTACACTGCTGTTAGAAACTACCCTCTCCTCTCCTCCCTCCCCTTCCCACTAAGGTATAGGGTTGACGATGTGATCACTACAATATAGCATTGGAAATACGATTCAGTTAAAACTTCTCAACACAATCAGCTTATCAGGTTTGTTGGTGGACATGTGTTGGACCTTTTCAAATCATTGTCGCAACCTGTGTGTGCCTAGGCATATGACCTCTCCTCCAATGATACATGCTGCTTATAAGTTTAGGCAGTGTGAAGTCCACTTATCTAAATCTCAGGGTGACCCTGTGTGCCTGGGTGGGTGGGAATCTAACTGGACAAAGTTACAAATTGCATACCTGTTTTTTCATATAATAAAGGCACATATTTACTTATTTAGCTTGTGATCTTTATAACAATTTATAAAGGTGATAAAATGCTACCAAAAAGAAGCATCTGGAAGTATCACTCTTTGTGAAACGCATACTGCTTGTATATCAGCTAAAATTATAGATTTGACCGTATGATGTTCCTTGAGGGAGTTAGTACCATAGACTAATTACTTTACCCATACCGGAAGCAAGGACCTGTGGTAAATTTTCATCTGGTGATTACTCATCTGAGACACAGGAGTGCCAATATTATGTGCAATGATTTATCTTTCTTATAATTTGGTTATAGTAATGAGATAGCAGTTCAGGTGGTACAAATACCTAATTTCTGTGCATGTATGTGTCTGTTTTGCAATATAAAGGCGCTTCTGATGTTCAAACCTTTAGTATTTTTCATTTCCATCCAGATAGTCTGAAATGACTTTTATGTTATTTTTCATTCAATCCTGAAGGAAGGTGCTATCTCCAGTCTCAAGGAATGGTTGAGCGATTCAGCAATTGGAAGCAATCCTGTTTTGCGATTGATTGCTGGAATTATATTTATGCATGAGCAGGACTACAATGAGGCTCTCAAGCACACACACTCTGGAGGAACTCTGGATTTGTATGTTACTATGTTTACCTTTATCCTCGATCTTTTGATGGTGTAGAATTTCAGTATTGAACCATATGGATGAGATTGGACAGCTGCAAATGTTCTATGATTTTTGATTGCCAGACAGCAAGTGTACAAGTTTATTTCTTGTGTGGTATAGCAACTGAAATCTTACTAATGAAAAAGTAACTTCAAATACTACAGTTTCCTTTACACTGTTCATTACCTACTTGATGTGGTTGTAAGCTTTTCCTTTGCTAAAGTGCTAGAGCTTCAAACCTTCCATGACTATAGATGTTATTATGTTCATGTTGTTGAAATTGTGATGCTTTAGAGTTGGGCTATTTAGATGTTCATTTTTGTAGGATCAATGACAGATATTCAAGTGTTCTGTGATTTGAAGTTATGATATTGCTTACTCCCTCCATGTTCCTAAAGAAAGTCGCTTTGGGGTTGTTTTAAGTCAAACATTTTAAACTTTGACTACCAATAAATTCTTTTGAGTTGAGTTTGAAAATATGAAAGTGATGTAAGTGGATTCATCTCGAAATGTAGTTTAATAAAAGTATATATTGACTATATTTTATAAATATTTTATAGGAAAAAATAGCGGTCAAAGTTGTTTTTGGAGACCGTGTCGATGTCCAAAACGACTTTCTTTAGGGACATGGAGGGAGTATTGGTTTCAATTCTGAGTTTCTGACATTGCTGATTTGTAAATTCACTGTGAAGCTTGGTGTTTTGAACAACATCTTTAATACATCCAGCGTCCTTCAAACTTAAGCTGTTTGTTGATGGGACTTGCACTTGGTTACAGGCATGCATTGAATGTCCAGATCTTCATCAAGATGCATCGTTCAGACTATGCTGAGAAGCAGTTGAAGATCATGCAACAAATTGATGAAGACCATACACTGACACAACTTGCAAACGCATGGCTTGGCATTGCTGTTGTAAGTAATTTCACAGTCCAATGTTATGACATGCTGAAGTTTCATCTCTGCATTGGTCCAGAAACATGTGCTTTGACATCATCTTTAATGGTTGCAGGGTGGCTCTAAGATCCGTGAAGCTTATCTCATATTCCAAGACTTCGCTGAAAAGTACCCAATGACAGGGATGGTTCTAAATGGGAAGGCAGTCTGCTGTATGCACATGGGAAGCTTTGAGGAGGCCGAGACTCTATTGCTTGAAGCGCTGAACAAGGTTTGCACTGATTACACACATTTGCAGCAATGGGAGCTCTAAATCTTGTGAAATTTGTTTTTTATTTTCATTTGCTTTGGTGTTGCATAATGTTGTAACCGTGTAACTCTAATTTTCTATTATTGTAGGATGCAAAGGATCCTGAAACTCTTGCCAATCTAATTGTATGCAATCTCCACCTTGGCAAACCATCATCACGATTCCTCAGGTACAAAGTGTAACTGAAAAACATCTATAAGTTTCTACTGCTATTCTGCTACTCATTATGTGATTGTGTATGTCTTCTCTTGTGAATTTGAATAATCCAGTAAATGCATGGTAAATTGATTTAGTGGTCTTAGAAATACTCTCTCCATCCCAAACTAAATCAATTTCTAGAATTATCTAAGTCAAACAATCTAAAGTTTGACGGAATTTATAGATACAAGCACATATATTTATGAGATCAAATTAATTAATATCATTAGATGCACTGTGAAATATAATTTCATGGTGTATTTATTTAGGATCATAGATGTTGGTACTCTCTTCTATGTAGTTGGTAAAACTTAAAATAGTTTGACTTAGGACAACTCTAGAAGTTGATTTATTTTGGGACCGAGGGAGTAACCCAGTTGATGAATGTACATGGATGGACAACTAGCAGGACATTGTTCTAAATATAAACAACTAGGAAGATTGCAGGACAAATGTAGATTGTACCATTACTGTTTTTGGCAACTTGTATTAAACTTCGTGTTTAGGGTCTTAAACATTTAAGATTAACAGTTAAATTGAGAAATGAGAATATAATTATGCATCAGAGACAAGCATTCTAGTGCAATTAGCTTCTTTTATAGAAACTAGAAAGAGCTGTGACCTTGGAGTCTGGGCTCAGGTGTTGTGACGTGCTGGGATTAGGACCACAGGGACATTGTTGTGACTTGTGAGATATTTTTCCGATTCAATGAATTCGTCTGCTCTAGTCTCTTGCGGCCTAGCTGTGGTTTTTGGCCTCTGATCCTGATTTTGCAAATCTGGGATTAACAGTTTACAGCCACCACTTCGTGATCTCATATATCCTGACAAAGCCTTCATAACAACTTGAAACTGACCTATGTTGGCTGTGTTTACCAGTCCAACTTTGGGTCCACACGCATTCAAGAATACTGTTGTACTTGCTTTATATGCCACCACTAATATAGTACGAAAAATAAGTGGCAGAGTCCTATGAACTTTTGATTTTGGAGGGATGTTATAAATCACTTAGGGATACCCTAAGCTTCATTTAATTAACTCAATTAGTGGATTGTGACATATACAAGACACAGGAGATTGATACGTTGAAAAGCTGAGGGCAACATCAAGACCGTAATTATATTATGGATAGATTCAAAACCGTTTGCTGGTGCACCCCGGATGTTATAATTAGAACTTTCCCTGCTTTGTTTTTGTGCTTTTACTTGGTCAGTGGCTAATACGATGCTTTCCTTTGGATTTGTCCAAAAAAAGGTGTAACTCTCTTTCCATTTGCAGCCAGCTGAAGCTATCGCATCCTGATCATGTGCTCGTTAAGAACGCAGCATCATCAGAAGCGACCTTCGAGAGGGCCCTCCAAGCCGTCGCTTGAGCTCGACAAACCCCAGCCAGATTACAGAAAGCAGCACATTGATCTCTTTTTTCCCATTTTGAGTGTGTTAACCCAGTAAAGTATGGTGGTTTTGGTTGTCTAGCGTCGCTGTTAATGCGACTCGGCCAGTCTTGTACTACAACTGCTGTATAAACGGATATGTAGAATATTGAATCGTTACATCTATTGCCAACATCAGTATTTTGTTTTGTTATAGTAGATATATGCAATACTGTCAAGTGTCAACCCTTGTGGGCGACGATCTGAGAACCATACGTATAAAGAACGTGACCGTGTCTTTCTGGACCTCACAATAATTTCCTCATGTGCTTTAGGAAACGGAATTTTTACGTTTTTCGTGGTGGCAGTGTGCTTATGCTGATATTCGTGTCCAAGCAACGCTTGTTGCTGAAGAAACAGTCTGTACTATTATGTATGCTGAGATTGGGTGGGAAAGGTTGGGCAAATGCTCGTCCGCCTTTGGTTTAAAGAAACAAATCGATGATTCGCTGCTGCTGCTGCTGCCTCGTTCAAATGCATGGAAGTCTTGCCGTTGCTTTTACAGTCGTACTCGTACTTGCAGCGCCTTTCTTTGGTATGCTTATATTAATGAGACTTCTGTTAAATGTCCGGTCATTTGCTCTTGAAAGTTTCATGCTTCATTTGTTTCTGGGACATTATTGGGTATTTTTCTTGATCGTAGTCTCTGCTCATTCCGTTGTGTTGATCGGTGATTTTTCGCCGCATGGAAAGAATTTCTGGAACAATGGAGATTTTATTCGACAGCAAAAGACAATAGTTTTCAGTTTTGGCGCAGCTGAAATGTCACCCGGTAAATGCTACTCTCCCACCGCCCACACATAACCCTGGAACCCGCTGGATTTTTTCCAAGGTCGAAAATGGGATATCACTAGTAACATGCATTTGCGCAGTTGTGCCAGTGCGCCACAACACCTGACAACACTTGATGATGGGATGGGACTTTCAGGTCAGGTCTATACAAAAGTTGAAATAACTTGGCTCCAAGGAAAATTGGGTGGAGTCCGAATTTTGTGTATGAAAATAAAATAATTGTGTGCGGAGTCTGAACTTTGTGTATGAAACTAAATAAATGGTGAAGACAACCAGTTCGTTAGTAGTACTATGCTAGGACTATGAATAGTTGACAGATTTTGTCAACATTACACCAGAAGCATCATATATATTACACACGCACTTTATTCATAATTTTTTCTTAACGACTACAAGCGGCCTCAGCAAGGCCACAACTCTCACACTGGTTTATGATACAATAATATTGGTACATGATTACAAAATAAATGCACAACCCACAGCTCCATGTATATCACAAGCCAGAGCTCATGTATATGAAGCTACATATGCTTAATAAGCTATATATGTATATTTGTGTTATATGCATGTATAACTTGAGTGATTTATCATATATATATGTATACTATATATATAAATCCTTAATAACCCAATGCATTGATGCATGCATGCGGATATTATAGTATAATGATGATACATCATATAGTGGTACATATATATGCAGATGGTCAGTGGGCTTAATTTACGGGCAAGTGAAGCTGGAGGGCACGTGCTTGCCGCACTCGTTGACGAGCACGGAGATGGCGACGGGGAGCACGACGCTGACGCTGAGCGCCTTGGCCTTGATGGTGGTGCAGAGGCAGAGCGCGGCGTCGAGGTCGGCCACGCCGGAGAGCAGCGGGCAGCAGGTGTCGCTGGCCTTGGTCCCGACGACGGCGTGCACGAGGCCGTTGAGCACGTCCACGCACGCCAGCAGCTTCAGCGTGTCCACGGGGCACTTGCCCGTCGGCGTGGACGGCGTCGGCGTCGGCGAGTAGGGCGGCGGAGGGCACGGCGTGGACGACGGCGGTGGCTTCACCTTCGGGGGCGGCGGCGGCGGCGGCTTCGGCGTCGGGCAGTAGGGGCAGGCCGCGGCCTGCGCGAGCAGCGTGGCCGCGACTAGCAGGAGGGCCACAATGCGGCGGCGGTTCGTGGTCGTGGCCATGGCGCGCGGCGCGGCGCGGCTTGTAGCTAACTTGCTTCTCAGGTTGAGTTCTGGTGCGAGCGAGTGGTGATGAAGCACAGGGCGGGCTGGGGCGCGGTTTATATAGGCGCGCGTGCGTGAGGCCGTGGAGTGGCATCGGCAATGGCCGAGCTGCTGCCATGTCTCACTGTCTGTCTCGGTTGGCAAGGTTGTGGCTGGCGTCCATCGACCGAGTTTGATGGATGGGATCATCGTCGTTGCTTCGACGCCCAAGGCAGTCATGGCAACTTGCTGGGCGATCCATCATCCAACGAGTTGTCCTCACCTCGTCTCAGCTCGTTCTTGGAAACGCGCGCATGTGAGTACGTGTTGTGAGGACGTGCAGTGGGGTCCGCGGCATGTCGCGATTGAATCGACAGCCTACTGGCTTTTAACTGTCGCTCGACGGCCCGCACTGCACGGTTGTTTTGTTGTATATGGACAGAACAAACTTTTAGTTTTCCAGCCCTAGCTTGACGCGGTAACTTCGTTCGCGCAGCAGGCGCGCACGACGACAGGACGAGCCGGACCCGTGCATACGGCTGGGTGAAAGAAACCTTACCCTGATGACGTCTAGCCAGCTAACGTGCATACAATACATCCTACTACTATATTTGAGTTGCTGATAGATATTATCAAAGTCTCAAGTAAAAAACAAATGAACTGTGTACGTAGTGCAAGAACTTGAGTAGCTAGCTGGCGTGATTTTTGTCTTTGTTCTTCTCTGCAACACGCACGCAGTATGTGTATGCTTGCAATCCGTTTGCGATTTTGCATGGGCCCTTACACTCCGATCCTCCATTGGCAGTTTGGCACTATCTTCAGATATTTCTTCTTTAAAACTAAAGGCTAGATTGCATTTATATATTTTTGTATTGATATTTTTCAGCCGTCGACAATCATCGTATATATTCTCTTCATCATTAAGACCGAATAAAAGAGAGCTTATCTAACTCCACGTAACACTATACCACAACACTCATCTATAGCGATTCCTTTTGTATCAGTATCAGTGTTCCTCTACACGACCGTTTAGCCTATTTACACGCCGTGCAAATGCTACACGACGGCTTGCCGCGCGTGTCTGTTTAATCAGTCATTTATCTTGTTTCATCACTGTTTACTCCGTTTAATTGGCCACTCAGCCCGAATAGATAGTTAGATGATAGGTGACCGTTTAGTCCATTTAAATGTTTAGGCTAACATTGGTCGATATAAGCCGTTATACCAACCGACTGTTAGACGTTATTGTGTAGATATATCGATTGATAGTTTGATATCTATTGTAAACTTATACTAACCAATGGTCAGATGATATATATTTATAACGACCAACTATCCAACACTAGGCATAATATGGACTAATTAGTCTTACAGTAACCATATAACATCATCCATTTAAATATTAACCATCCAAGCTGATGCTAAACATCAAATACCGAAATGGCTAAACCATGCTCACAATTTTCATTGAAGCCATCAGCATTTGTGCTTGCACAATGTTTTATTAAAATACCCACAACCAAGCTAGATCACTTAAGTATCTACACAACTAAGATGTTTGTCATGTATAGCCCATAACTCACAGGTATTGTTTGCACAATCATAAAGTTCTTTTAAAAACCGTTTCACCTCTAGGAAGTCATGGAACAAAACAACCACTATAAGCACTTTGATCATATTGCTCAACAAACTATATATATGTAGTAATTTGTACCTGAAAATCAAAACAGCCATTCAATTCATCAATAACATTACCTAAAACTTAATATACAATTTCTATAGAAAACATCTTATATCATCAAGAACACAACTTTTCATGTCACTGGAGATGGAAAAATATGGTATGCATTGATCATATCACCTTTTGCTACAACTTGTTACCTAGCCAGAAGTAGGTGTTTTCTGACCTTGTACTAAACCACCGATGGTCTTTTTTAGGGCAGATACAATCACACTGGCATTTGCAAAGTTGGACTACATACAATTTTTTGTAGGCACATGCTAGGGTTTGGTTTGTCATCGTGTGGGTCATCTAAAAATAAGGCACAAATTGGGGCAACCGAGCGCACGCGAGCCCAATTCATATGTGCCGACGGATCCTTGGATGCAAATATCACCGTTTACCTACCGACTGTGTACATCGATATTCTAGTACTTTTATTTATCAACTATGTCCGGCGTTATTAATTTGGGTTGTGGTATACCCCGTAGTGCTCTGCTTAGTCTACACCGTGTGCCGAGGGGTGCTCTGCTTAGTCTATATCATGTGCCGAGGGGCGCGCAACTGCCCTGTTCTCAGCCTGTTCGCTTAGCTGATAAGCCGTGACTGAAAGTAATGTTGGCTGATTCGTTGTGAGAGAAAAATATTGTTCGTTGGCTGAAAAAGTACGGCTTATAAACCACACATGTATGTAGCTAGCACCAGTGTAAGCCAAGCGAACAGGACGAACAGACTTCCGGACGATCCGGCCGTCCGGGCCACGTTTTTTTGGACTTGCTGAGCTGCAAGTGGACGATCCATGGATCGACGATGGACGGATACCTTCTACCATCATGCATCCGTCCGAGCAGGGCACATCGATCATACGCTGCTGCTGCTACTACGTATACGCGAACAAACGTGAAGTCCCGTAAGAAAACAGTGCAGGGTATTAGAGGGGGCCCGGGTGACGGGACGGCCGGACGGACTGATGATATGATAGGGAGGCGACGGTGTCTCCCGTCCAAAGGATCCAAGACGGGCGACATGCCTCTTGGAAGGGCGTGGCGCCAACGGGCCAACGGCTTTGGGGCCTTCCCGTGCCGACTTCCACGTACCTGTCATCCAGCCATGCATTTCTAGCTAGCGGTTTTTGCCGCTACCTAGCTAGCGAGACCCCTGTTCCTGTTGTGTGTGTAGTACTACTCAAGTCTGAACGCGGTGCATGAATGTATGATATGATAC